CTGATTTTAAGACCTACAAAGCTAGAAGACAGTGTGATGTTGGCACAACAATAAACACACTATTCAACAAAACAGAATAAAAAGTCCATAAATAGAGACATATTTATGGGCACAAATGATTTTGACAAAGATAAAAGGTAATTTGGTGGTGCTGGAATATGCACATGAATATCACTATGCAAAAAAAACAAAACAAAACAAAACAAAAACTCCAGCCTGTATCTCACACCATATATAAAAATTCCATTAAAATGGATTATAGACCTAAATGTATAATGTAAGACTGCAAAACTTCTAGAATATAATACTTTTAACCTATGAATTAGAAAAAAAAATTTCTTAAGTGCAATACCAAAACTATATTCCATAAAGGAAAAACTCAATAAATTATTCAGCAAAAAGTCTTCTCTTAAAAACAAAACAAATAAACAACAACAAAAACATCTCTTCAAAAGACAGTGAACACTGCAAAGAGAATGAGAGGACTTTTACTCAGAAAATACAAAGAAATATCAATAAACAAACTACTGTGTTTTTTTAAATGAGAAAAACATTTCAGCACTTACAAAATAAAATATATGAGTGATACATAGGTATATGGTAAGACAGTCATCATTAGTGTTTAGGGATATATACATTAAAACTACAGATTAAAATAACATTGCATGTCAACTATACTTTGATAATAAATCTTTTCTTTCTTTCTTTTCTTAATTTTTAAGTTTTTTTAATGTTTATTTATTTTTGCGAGAAAGAGAGACAGAACAAGAACAGGGAAGGGGTGGAGAGAGAGGGAGACACAGAATCTGAAGCAGACTCCAGGCTCTGAGCTGTCAGCATAGAGCTCGACGTGGGGCTTGAACTCATGAACTGCGAGAGCATGACCTGAGCCGAAGTCAAATGCTTAACTGATTGAGTTGCCCAGGAGCCCCATTTTTTTTTTTTTGAGAGAGAGCATGAGTAGGGGAGGGGGCAGAGGGAGAGACAATCTTAAGCAGGCTTCACACTCAACATGAGCCCAACAAGGGTTCGATCTCACAACAGTGAGATCATGACATGAGCCGAAATCAAGATTCAGACACTTAACCAACTGAGCCATGCAGGCACCCCATTAATAAAACATTTTTAAAGTCATGAGAGAGAAATACACATGTACTGTCATGTCTAAAGTTAAAATGACTGACCATATCATGTATTGATAAAATATGCAAGAACTAGAAATCTCGGACATTGGTGCATGGATTGTAAAATCGTATGATCATTTTGAAAACAGTTTGGTTATTTATGTATTTATTTATTTGGTTAGTTTATTTACTTTGAGAGAGAGAAAGAATGCATGAGCAGGGGAAGGGCAGAGGGGGGAGGAAGACCAAGAGGGCTCTGCACTGTCAGCACAGAGCCTAATGAGGGGCTCATACTCACAAACAATGAGATCATGACCTATGCTGAAACTAAGAGTCGGATGCTTAACCAACTGAGCCATCCAGATGCCCCAATTTGGTAATTTCCTTAAAAGTTAAACATCTGCATACTGTATGATAAAACTAAACCCTTCACAGCTTTTTACCCAGGAAAATAGAAGTACAGGTCCACAAAAATACTTGCACAAAAATGTTTGCAGCTTTATTTGTAATAGCCTAAAACTGGAAAAAACTCAAATGCCCATCAACAGGTAAATGGATAAACTGTGGTATGTCCAGACAATGAAATAGTAATAAACATAATTTTCAGTAATAAAAAAAGAATTATTAATGTGTGAACTTCTCTCAAATAATTATGATAAGTGAAAGAAGCCAGGACTGTCCCCCCAAAAAGGAGTACACATTGTATGATCACATATATATAAAATTCAAACTAATATATAGTTATAGAAAGCAGATCTGTGGTTGTTTGGGGAGGAAAGAGGGAAATAGTATGGGTAGGATTACAAAGAATAAGAAAACTCAGGGGTGATGGATAAGTTATCTTGATTGTGCTGATGGCTCACAAATGTAAAACTATGTCAAATTTTAACAAACTGTACCCTTGAAAGATGTGCAGAATTTAACAAATTGCTATATCAATTATACCACAATAAAGTTGTTTTTAGATGTTCTGAAATAAAGCAAAAACACTAATACATATACTACAATGGATATCTTTTAAACTACCAAGGGAAAAGAATGGAAGGAGGAAAAATATTAGCCAATCCAGCAAGGCAGAGTAAGAGAAAAAAATAAAACAAGGCAGGGGGAAAAACATACTAAATAAGACATATAAGACTGTAGAAATATGACCAAATATGTAAGTAACTACAACAAATGTGTATAGTTTAAATTCTTGTCTTAAAAGTTAAAATTTTCAAAGAGTTAATAAAAAGCAGCCATATCTGCTTTATTAAAAAGCTGTAGCTCTTTGTAACAGGTATACCTAAAATAAAATGTCACAGAGAAGTTGAAGATACAGAGTCAATGGCATACCAGGCAAATACTAACCAGTGAAAGCTGGAAAAGATGGACTGGGCAGCCAGGGAGGTAAGTGCTTCACATTTCCCATCAATAGAGAACTCACCATTCAAACACAAGGAATGCAATGTGCTGATGGTCTCTAGCGGTTAATGGCTTCAGGATCCATTTCAGCTTTTTTTTTTTTTTTAATGTTTTAATTTATTTTTGAGAAAGAGACAGAGTATGAGTGGGGGAGGGTCAGATAGAGAGGGAGACATAGAATCCGAAGCAGGCTCCAGCCTCTGAGCCATCAGCACAGAGCCTGATGCAGGCCTGGAACTCGTGAACTAGGAGATGATGACCTGAGCTGAAGTCCGATGCTCAACTGGACTGAGCCACCCAGGCGCTCCTCCATTTCAACTTTTGAGTTGAGGCCATATTCTTCCCAGACAATAACTATGCATGAAGGCACATTAGGGTTTGGCCATTCCTGCTCTTTTAAGATACTTCATACAAGTCATCTTTGCTCCAGGGCTTCTCATGGGTTTGGCGAAGAATTTGGCAGTTCTGTATGTGATCTGAGGCCCTTGTATCCTGCTCCCTCTCCATTCCTTTCACAGGTTTGATTCAGATCAGCAGCAGGGGCTGAAGGCTTTGCCTCCCCTCTCCTACTTCCTGCCCCTTTCATCTTTCACAGGTTTAAGCCCTCTCTCCCAATTAACCTTTACTGCTCCTAACTCCATCTCAGCCTCTGCTTCCTGGAGAGCCTGTTTTAGTTTCCATGTTTTTCTGATTCAGCGGATCTAAACTGCATTTGGGTGATCTATATAATTTTGTATTTCCTCACATGATTCTGACATTCAACCGCATTTAGCACCCCTGTAGTGGAAGATTTTAATACATTTATTTCCTGTGCCACATAATTTAGCACTTATAAACTATCTTGAAGTCTTTTAAGTGTCATTTACGTGGCTGTTTTGACATTAGCAAGTTAAGATGTAAATACAATTTTGCTTTGCTTTGTTTTGAACCCATTTAACTGTGAGTCTCCTCCCAAGCAAGGATGGATGGAGAATTAAGAATGTCAAGGACAGGGTCATTGTGTCTGTTGTGTGCATTACTCGATAAACTTATGTGGAGAAACTTAATGGATTGTTTTTTTTGTTTTAGCAAATGGTGTCAAAATGGTTTGGTGAAAATCATGTGCCAAATGTCATTACATTAGTTTTACCTCCAAAATGAATGAAAAGTATTTTAAAGATAAAGCCTGGTGTAGCCAAAATGGCTGGAGGGAGAAGAACAGTGACAGAACAACTGTCTTAAGTGTTTCAAATGGCATAATTGAAAAATGAATGGATTTCGTTTTAATTTCTACCATGATGAAAAAAGTTTATCCATTTATTCTGAGAGAGAAAGAGAAAGAGAGAGTGTAGGTACGCATGTAGGGGGAAGGACAGAGGGAAGCGGAGAGAGAATCCCAAACAGGATCTGCGGTGACAGTGCATGAGGCTTGATCCCACAAACCGTGAGATCATGATCTGAGCAAAATCAAGAGTTGGATGCTTAATCGACCGAGCCAACCAGGAGCCCCTACCATGGTGAAAATGTTTAATGTTTTTCCTGCCATGGAGAAGCAGACTGATTTTTTTCATAAATTTTCAAAATTAAAATTTTTTTGAAAATATTATTAACAATGTACACATGATTAATACTGTATTCCACCTAAATAATAGGGCAAGGTCATGTCATCCATTAGCTATCGTCTTATCACATGCACCATATTTTATGGATACCCAAATTCTTCATAATGCATATTTAGCTGCTTATGTAGTCAATGAAAATCTGTTACTTGCTCAATACCTTACAATAAAATGTACACCATAAAAATACACATTTTCAATTTATCACATCTGCAAAAATGTTAGGTATTAGTTACCAATATCTGTATAGCCATAGAATGCATTCAGAATACTAATTGCTCACGTGTGTTCCCTCTCTCATTCCTGCTCTTTCCCACAAAAATGACAAAAACATAAATCCAGTTTTGTTAAATAGTGTGATTCTTATTATACTCTGACATCATATTTATTAACTGGTTGATTAAAAACAAAAAGTGGCAGTCTTGCAGATATAAAAGTAATGGTATAGGAAAAGACAGAATCAAATACAGTTGAAAGGAATGTAAATTGATACAACTTGACATATCAGTCAATAATGAAAATGCACAATTCGCCTCAAGGAATTTCTAATTCCTCCCAAGGGAATTATGGTACAAATATACTCAAGCAAATGCAAAGAGATATATCTATGTGGTATTGTTTATAATAGCAAAACAAACAAAATTTAAATCATCTAAATGTCCATAATTAGGTCTATGGTTAACTAAATTTTCACATAACCATAAAATGGAATTTTTGTAACCATTCAAATGAACGCAATAGCTCTGCCTGTGTTGTTTTAAAAGATCTCAAAGACTGATTACATTTTCCATTCTAGAATTCTAAGAAAATCAAAAGAGTAGCTTTACTGTTTCTTTATTCATTTGTTCTGGTGCTAGATTCAAGTAACTTATGAAGCCCATCAACTTCGTTTTGTAACACCTGAGACCTCCTCACTCTGCTCACAGTGTCATAGATTGCTCTTCTCTGTGTAGCTGGCATAGGATTGCATTTCATCCTAAGAAAGAACTCAAAGTCAAAATCCATTCACAAAAGCCAGAAGTCACTAATTACCTACGTTTTCCTAACTGGTGTCCACAGCTTTAGTTTCTACCAATAGTGCTTGTATTTGCATCTCTAGGCTTACATGGACATAAGAGAAAGACTCTTTTCTATTATTTTATCAAAAAAATTGTTGATTATGTAGGTCTCGGTGTCAAATGAAAAAGATTGTGTGAAAGTGGAAATGGAGAAGAAATGAAGTAATATGAAAGGTATTTCAAAGGAGAGGGTCAAAGACTTGGTAAGCTACTAGTTATGAGATTTGGAGCAGGGTAAGATTTAAGCCCAGGTAAGAGGAAAATGATGATAGTATTGAGAAAGGGAAGTCAAGGATTAGAGATGGTTTCACAGGGAAGGAAAAACCAAATCATTTTCTCCAAAGATTATAGTCTAAATGAGGCAAACATTCTGTGTTTTGTAACATACAGTTCTTGAAATGAAAATATGGTTTAGGGTACATGTAAATAGTACATGGTAGATAATTAACAAAATAAGTATGCCTGACTATGAGCATTATAAAATTAGAATTTTTACTTTCCAATTAAAATACTAATATAATGCAAATTAAAAATTATGTAGCTATATTTTGACTTTATGCCTTAAAAGTTTGCAAATATTCTTTTTAATGTTATCTTACCTCCTCAACAACTGAAGTAATTTCTGTTTAATTAGTATTTTCTGCAAAATATAAAAATACGCTGGAGTGAATGAAGGAAACATCATTATTTAGTTAAAAATGGGAAAACAAAAAAATATACTATTGACAAGTGTGATTCATATTTGATAGAATACATAAAATCAGACCTGAACTACCAGAAATAAGAATGATGCTTTTGGTTAATACATGTAGACAAGATAATTCCAGATTTTGGAAAAGGAAGTGGAATTATGAAACATAAGCCTAATATATGGAAAATATGTGACATAAAATGAATTACTATTTACTGGTTTAGAAATTTAGTATACACTATCTCTCCCAAGATCCTGTCTTAAATGGACTAATTCACTGTGCTTGCACGCCTAAGTGACCAAGCAAAATCCCTCCTGTCATTTAGAGTAGTCCAAATCTAAGACATTTAGGACGTGCTTTTTGATTATGGGAAGTTGATGTTAGCATATTAATTTCACCTGTCAGTTCTCTATTTCTGACCCCTTCTGGCTTAATAAAGCTGTGGAAGAAAAAACATTTGTCAATACCTGCAGACATCGATTTTCAAAAGGCAAATGGATCCCACAATGACCAAAGTAATCAAAATAAAGAAGGTGATACATACAACAAATTTTTGTGGTAACTGGTCTCCTGTAAATATAGACACAAAAAAATACATGGTTTAACTGTGGTACATCCGGACAAGGGAACATTATTTAGCACTACCAAGAAATGAACTGCCAACACATGAAAAGACACAGAAGAAATTAAATGCATCTTACTAAGTGAAAGAAGCCAGTCTGAGAATACTACGTTCTGTATGATTCCATGTACGTGACATTCTGGAAAAGGCAAAACTATGGAGACAGTGAAAAGATCAGGGGTTGTTAGGGGTTAGGGTGAAAGGAGGGAGGAATAGGTGAAGCCTGGAGGACTTTTAGGACAATGAAACTACTCTGTGTGAAACTACAATGGGGGATCCCTGCCATCTGCATAGTTGCTAAAACTCACAGAAGGTACACCTAGGGTGACCCTTAATTAAACTATGTACTTTGAGTGATAATGTTGTGTTAACGTTGGCTCATCGACTATTCCAAATGTACCCGGGTGGCATAAGTGATGGAGGCAGGGGAGGAGGGTGTGAATGTAGTGGGGCAGAGGTTATATGGGAACTCTGTGATTTCCACTCAATTTTGCTGTGAACCTAAAACTTCTCTAAAAACTAAAGTTTATTGAAAATAAATATATACTCATAAAATTATAATATATATGTATAAATATACACACACATACACACACACATATGTGTGTGTGTGTATGTGTGTGTGTGTGTGTGTGTATATATATATATATATATAAAATGTTTCAAGGATGTCTCATAGTTCATGAAATTCAATTCTGTGATTTTATTGTAAACATTTCTGAGCCATTAAGAGTCCAAATAATGGTTATAATAAAGTTGCTTTATCTGTTCTGATCCTAAGGTTTCTGGCAAGACATCATCCTAAGTCAGGATTTTGTGGCTTTAAGGATTCATGACTGGTGAATTCATACAGGACAGATATGGAAAGTAGATTTCTTGGCAATAGTAATAGCAGGGTGTTTCTCATCTCCACAATTCAGAAATAAATGGGGAGTTGTAATGGCGGTAGTTGGAAAAATAACCTAATTCTGAGGTCACTGTACTTCCAGGGCCTTGAAACTGACTGAAGGCACGGAGGCAAATTTCCATCATGTATTAAACGCTGTCAGCCATATAAAACTCAGTTAGACAACAGAAGAAGTCACCAAAGGAATTGCCAGCTCTGAGAAGCAGTGATTTTAAGACCTGGCTCCTGCTGTTCCCTGAATGGGTCCCCCAGCAGAGGGAGGTGAGTGGAGACTAAGCAGCCTGCCGTCCAGACCCTCTGCCTTCCTTCAACAGTTTGTTTTGACACATTGCATTTCTCTGTATTTTATTTGAAAATAAACATCTCTTTGCAGTTAAAATCAACAACACCATTTTGAAACCCCCTCTTGAAAACTAACGCACCATCTTTCATTAGAAGTGTAACCTCAGAGGCTGAAGATCTGCCCTCCAAGTGAGACAGGAAGGAGACCCTGCACTGGCTGGGAGTGGACCAGACAGTCCTTCAACCCTGAGGTTCTATAGGTAGGACAGCATATGGTATCACCAGGTGGTCAAATTTCATACACAACCAGGGCAGTTACTCTTCTCAGGAAATACTGCTAAAATCCTTTTTTAAATCACTTTACGAATGGATATTGGAAATTGGTGGTTTAAAGACATGGGTTCTTGGCACAAAAACAGACACATAGACCAATGGAATAGAATAGAAACCCCAGAACTAGACCCACAAACGTATGGCCAACTCATCTTTGACAATGCAGGAAAGAACATCCAATGGAAAAAAGACAGTCTCTTTAACAAATGGAGCTGGGAGAACTGGACAGCAACATGCAGAAGGTTGAAACTAGACCACTTTCTCACACCATTCACAAAAATAAACTCAAAATGGATCAAGGATCTGAATGTGAGACAGGAAACCATCAAAACCTTAGAGGAGAAAGCAGGAAAAGACCTCTCTGACCTCAGCCGTAGCAATCTCTTACTCGACACATCCCCAAAGGCAAGGGAATTAAAAGCAAAAGTGAATTACTGGGACCTTATGAAGATAAAAAGCTTTTGCACAGCAAAGGAAACAACCAACAAAACGAAAAGGCAACCAACGGAATGGGAAAAGATATTTGCAAATGACATATCGGACAAAGGGCTAGTATCCAAAATCTATAAAGAGCTCACCAAACTCCACACCCGAAAAGCAAATAACCCAGTGAAGAAATGGGCAGAAAACATGAATAGACACTTCTCTAAAGAAGACATCCGGATGGCCAACAGGCACATGAAAAGATGTTCAGCGTCGCTCCTTATCAGGGAAATACAAATCAAAACCACACTCAGGTATCACCTCACGCCAGTCAGAGTGGCCAAAATGAACAAATCAGGAGACTCTAGATGCTGGAGAGGATGTGGAGAAACAGGAACCCTCTTGCACTGTTGGTGGGAATGCAAATTGGTGCAGCCGCTCTGGAAAGCAGTGTGGAGGTTCCTCAGAAAATTAAAAATAGACCTACCCTATGACCCAGCAATAGCACTGCTAGGAATTTATCCAAGGGACACAGGAGTACTGATGCATAGGGGCACTTGTACCCCAATGTTCATAGCAGCACTCTCAACAATAGCCAAATTATGGAAAGATCCTAAATGTCCATCCACTGATGAATGGATAAAGAAATTGTGGTTTATATACACTATGGAATACTACGTGGCAATGAGAAAAAATGAAATATGGCCTTTTGTAGCAACGTGGATGGAACTGGAGAGTGTGATGCTAAGTGAAATAAGCCATACAGAGAAAGACAGATACCATATGGTTTCACTCTTATGTGGATCCTGAGAAACTTAACGGGAACCCATGGGGGAGGGGAAGGAAAAAAAAAAAAGAGGTTAGAGTGGGAGAGAGCCAAAGCATAAGAGACTGTTGAGAACTGAGAGCAAACTGAGGGTTGATGGGGGGTGGGAGGGAGGAGAGGGTGGGTGATGGGTATTGAGGAGGGCACCTTTTGGGATGAGCACTGGGTGTTGTATGGAAACCAATTTGACAATAAATTTCATATATAAATAAAAAAAATTAAAAAAAAATAAAGTTTAAAAAAAAATAAAGACATGGGTTCTTCTCTTCTTCCTTCTTAAAACTGACTAAAATATCAGTAGGTAATTTTTTTAAGTATAGACTCACCAAGACAAAGATAACATGGAGGAAGACAAGCAGATGAAATATTTCAACTTGTTTTAAGGTGAAAAATGAACAGAAGAAGGCAAGTCCTTTAGGGTGGAATAACAGAAGGATGTTAGTGCCCACAGAACATCTAGAAGACTCCAGAACAGGAAGGGCTAAATGTATAAGAAGGGGTACGTGGGAGTTGAAGTATGAGCTAACAGTTGGAAGCTTCTTTGAAGGTCTGTATTGAGAAGAGGTAGGCTGCCCAGTCCACTCGCACCCTGTGCACCTTCCGCAACCAGCAGGGAACAGGAAGTGTGACCCAGAAAAAGTGAACTGGAGAGAATCCAGAGTCAAGGATCCAGACAGTGGAGGGTGGAGATGAAGTGCCAGACTAAAGAGAGATGCTAAAGAAAAGGCTGAGTTCTGAACAGTCTCTCTCTCTCTCTGTCTCTGTCTCTGTCTCTGTCTCTCTGTCTCTGTGTCACTCTCTCTCACACACACACACACACACACACACACACACACACACTTCCCTCTATTTCCCTGCTCCCATAACACTAACAGTCAGCCTTATACCACTAAGACAATAGACTGGAGACTTATTTTCTGCAGAACCCGAACAGACTCGGAGATAAGACCTTCAGGTAATTAAAGAATCTGTCATTAGAAAAGAGAAGTTCATTTCCCCTCTTTCTGCCTATTGATGCCAACTGGTTGGCAGGACCACCCACAGACAGCATAGCTTCCAATCAGCTCAGTTTTGAATGCTCACTCTGAAATGATTGGAGAACCAAGGATTACCAGAGTAAAGAGAAGCTTCATACCTAAAACAAAGACATTAAAACTAGCAAATATCAGGAAGGCAGAAGAAACTCAAACAGACATGGAATCAAGCAGAGGACGGACCGAGGGAAGGAAAGTGTCCAGGACAATATCTCTGCAGCAGGTCGACTGACCCAGCAGGTCAGATTGGAACAAGAGTGTGTAAAAACTCAGGAAGGGATGTCTTCAAGAAAAAAAAGGAATTGATGGATTATCTATACATTTGACCATGTGAAAATAGCATTAAGAGGAGTTTCCTAATTTTCTCAGTGAGTTTAGTGACAATTAAGAAGTACCTAGAGTAAACTTTAAATTGATCATTGAGTTTATTATACTATAGCTAAGAAATTATAGAAGAACCTGGAAAATAAAATCCTGCCAAAAAAAATTGTGAAGAAAACTTATGAGTGACTGGATCCTTCTTAAAAAGCATAAATATTCACTTAAAAATACACTTTATTCTTCTCCTAAAACCATAAGTATTATTTTAATAGTACATTCACTACTCAAGGCAAGTTATTACTTGCACAGAACAGAAATAATTACATTTAATAATTTAAATTATTAAATTATTTTTATTATAATTATTAAAAAGTAAACATCATTTAAAATATGGCTTCTTAAACCAAATTCTGCATTAGTCTTCTGGACATAATTCTGAATGGTGGAGAAGAAGGACATAAAAGAGGGGCTGGAGAAATTATCCTTGAGTGAAATTGACCATACACTCCTTTTTCTTTCTTCCATAGCTTCTCTGAAGGAATGAAATCATCATACAAAAGCTGGAATTACTAACCAGAATTCCTCTCAATGGATAGACTCCTGTTGCCAGTCAGATGATACACAGAGCAGGACACATTAGACACCCGGTGGTCCTCCCAGCGGCACGAACTCTGGACGGTCACTGTGTCATTGCCCAGTGGCT